AGACAAGGATTCAGACGCGAATATTCCCAAGTCTATAAAGTCAACAAATGCCCGTTTTGTATGTATGTGTTTTTTTTACTTCTTTCACACCGTAAATAGTAAACCGTGATAATTATATAATTGGAAGTGCGGGGGAAGTATAACATACTAAATACAAAAAAACTGTTCCAAATAATCCAGGTTTTGAATCGAGGTTCAACATCATGGGGTCTCCGTTGTCCGTTTTAATCCGCGAGGTGCAATTCGGTGAATGCGATAGCTCTGCCCGGAGTTGCCGGGTGCCGCCAGTAAGTGTGGTGCCACCGGACTTGACCGCCAGAGATCATCGAAGCCGCCACCTCCAACCCCTGGCCCCACATGCTGGCATCGTCACAAGCTCGCGTGCCCACGTTCAGAACAAAGAAAGCTAGGCACACCGCGGGCCACCGTGTGCAGTGGTCTGAAGGCAGAGTCCGACCAGGCTAACGGAGCAACGTGAAAGGGCTCCGCTGGAGAACGTGCGCACAGGTGACTATTCTGGGAGCAATAGCGGCCGCGTTGGGAGCAGCCCACCACGCAAGTGCGAGCAAAGCCGGGATCGTCCCGCTCTGCTGGATGACTCGGTGGGCCCGGGCTGTTGCCTGTCTGCATATCTGCATCACCAACTCTGTGGTTGAAGATCGCTCCCTTTCTGTTGCGCCTTTCGAGGTCTGGAGTTCCGGGCCTCGTGACCTCCGGTATTACGATTCCTTGTCGGCTGGCTGCGTTCTGGCCCTGGAAGCTTCTGAGAGAGTCCTCGCTCCTCGTTTAACAGCCGTTTTGCGATTTTTCAGCCGTTTTGCGATTTTTCTCCGATTTTATGCTGTTGATTTTACCATCGTCGTATTTTTTGTTTTAAGCTAAGGTTTTGTGAAGCCGTAGCGAGCGTGGGTCGCGTTGAGCCCGCGGACGCGCGCCGCATGTTTATCGGTTGTTGGTCGTTGAGTCGGACGAGAGATTTACGATGCCGGCAAAGCGTAAATCCACCGCGCGGTCCAGCACCCCCCAGGGGGCGGCGCGACCCTGACCTGACCTCTGTAAGGGCCAGGTATTCGCCTCGCAGGCCACAAGGGGGGACGCTGGAGCGTCACCAACGCGCGTGCTCAGCCCGCCCGTGCGTTGGTGACGGCACGGGGGGTTTGCCACCTCGTAGCGATGGGGCCGTGCTTGCGTGGGCTCTGTAGACCGCTGTGGTGCTGAAGGCTCCAGCCAGTATTCGAACGGTAAAGAGTTTAGTTGCTCAGTCAGTAAAACGAGTTGTTAGTGTGCTGCACGCAATGTGAAGCCGCCTGCCAGGGTTCGATTCCTAGGCCATGTCTGACATGAATGGTGAGTGAGCTGTGAAATGGTCCTGCACCTACCCCATCACGACTCGCATTGGTGATGAATGGCCAATCCACCCCCCATAACTAACGCAGCATTGGGGGGGGTGGGGGGGAGAGGGGTAGTTTCATCGACCAATGGATTCACCCAGGGGCTGTAGTTCATCGTAGTGAGAGGAATTGAGTGGTGATTCATCCTGGAATCCCCGACTCTCCGTGAGTAACGGGAGGCAGGTGTAGGGGTCACATGGTGTGTAACCCGTAGATGCGTATTGTGCGCGTGTGCAGTCTAGGCAGCGGTAGTGTAGCGGTTAGCGCACTGCGCTACGAACCTGGCGATCCGAGTTAAATTCCCGCTCACGGCCAACGCCAGTGACAATTATCTGAACCGGTCATGGGCCTCCCCTAGGTCGAATCAGCCTTAAATTAGTACCTGGTGCGATGTGCAAACATCACCACTCGGGTGCCAAATGCGGCCATGCATTGTGCTGGCCACCCACCCCCTCGTGTGCCGTGGCGGCCTTCATAGGTGCTCACTCACAACACTTCCTCTAACAGCGCTCTCGGATGTGTTTCTGCGGCCGTCTGGAATGATCTTCCTGACCAATATTTGGAAGCCGCTGGAGCTATGCACTTAGAAAAGTATATTTTTTCCAACTGCTTTTCGTGTGTTTAGCCTGTCGTCCTTACCCCCGTTGGCTATGTTCGGTGCGAAAGAAGTTTAACATACATGTAGACATGCAAAGGCTATATGGGGGACATTGGTCTTTGTGTGATTGTGGGATTGTCTGCCGCTCGTTCTGCCCTGGCCACTCGGACAAAGCGCCAGCGCGTGAATCACTATGGTCGCTTGGGCACGATCGACCACCGCTCGCAGCAATTCCACCCCCGAACTGCACCCCACATTCTCCACCCATTCCCATTCAAATCCACAAATCGCGTCGTCTTTAAGGTCTCCAACCCACCAACCAGCCACCACCCAGATCTTGTGCCCGGTAGTGTAGTGGTTAGCGCGATGCACTACAAACACGCCGACCCGAGTTCGATTGCCGCTCACGGGCAACACCGATTATCTGAACCGGTCCTAGTCCTCCCCTAGGTAGATTTGGCCTCAAATTAGTCCCTGGTGCGGTGTGTAAACATCGGCACTAGGAAGCGGCTGGGCGTGGTGCTGACCACCCACCCCCTCGTGTGCCATGGCGGCCTTCATAGGTGCTCACTAGCAGCACTTGCCCCAACAGTCCGTTAAGGCTACATGGGGGATCTTTTTCTTTGTGGGCTTGCGTCCAGCTATAAACAATATCGCCAATCGACAGCCTGTATCCTATCCTTTTTTTAGCCTCTCGTCCACTTTTTGTTATTTATAAACTTGATCTCCGTCCTCCTCTGCTCCTGTGCCGTCCGTCAATTAAAAGCCAACTGGCGCGATGGGCGGCGTGGTGGGGGAGACGTGCGGTATCGAGGCTGTCTATCCCACGCGCACGTCAGGTTGGCATATGAATATATCCCTTAGAATGTGTGCAGCATGCCGAGCGATGTTGCATTTAATAGATAGCTGCATATCGGGGTTAATGGGGTGCGTGGACCGTTATCTGGTAGTGAATTCAAGGTCTCCTTAATCGGACTGGGTGAATAAATCAGCAGAATGAGGCTGCTGCCGCTGCTCTTGATATCGCCGGTGCCGCCTCGCATCCAACCGTGGCCACTGTAACATAAACAACAAGCGCCATCATCGTGCGCAGGCACAGTGACGCATAGCAAGGGACGTCCTACCCTCTCTATTAATTACTCATCGTTGACTAGATTTGGTTTTGGCGCTTTGCCCTAACGGCGCAAAGGCGATCGTCGTGAAGGATGGCGCCGCCGTGATTCACAGATGCAGGCTGCCGTAGTTCCGCGCTAGGGGGACAATGTTGCTCGTGTGTCATGGCAGCTAAGAGGTTTCTTTTTTTCGAATTTTGAGCGAATTTGAAACTGTGACACCTACAGCACACGATGGCCTCCTCATTACCAATCGCGTCACGGGGATCTTTACGGTTAATCCGCATCGCCGTGGTAACGCCCAGGGCGGCCTGTCAGATTCGAGCCGCGATCCTCTCCCATCGAACAGCGAACGCGCCACGGGCTGGGTTGCGTCACCGCCCCCGGAGGGGGGCTGCCTGCGCCGTTGGTCTCGCTGCGCAATCGATTGAGGGGGCAGAGTTGATGAGGCGGCCGGGTGAAGCGCCGGTTCACGGGAAACTCGGGAGGGGACAAGGCCACTCCACGTGGGAGCTCCGCCAGGCTCCCGCGGGACAAGGTTTGACGGCCAGAGACAGCGACGGCGGTGGCTCCCATGGAATTAAAATGCAATTTGGAAGGACGTGGCGCCCGCGGGACAGGGTGGCGTTTCGGGCGCCACTCACCCCCGGCGTTGAGCGTGGTTCATCGCGTAACAACAAAAAAATACGTGGATTGTAGAAGTTCCGGATAATAGGGCAACAGACGAGAGGGAGGATTCCCTCAAGTTGCCGTGGATTTCACTTCGGTTTAGGATTGCGCTGGGATCGCCGGCGAGGGTGGCGCGTGCCGCGCGCTATCGTGGGGGGAGCCCGGACAGCTGATGACTTGTAGCCACCACTGTTATCACCTTGACCGTGCGGGGTTGACCCCAGCTACGAATTAGCATTCCCATTGCCCGGGGAAACGTTCTCCGTGATTTAAAGATCAATTCGTCATTTTACTCCTTACGCGGCAAGTAGCACTAATAGCCACTGCGAGAGATGTTTTAGCGAGCACACGCTCTGACGGCGCTGCGGGTAGCCGTACCGTGCTGTATCGGCGTGCGCACGTGCACCACGGTTTGATCGCAACGTCGATGCTCAAGTCCGTCATGAGACATCTCGAGCCTCCCGCGAGGGGGGGGGGGCCTTATCAGTCCGAGTCCGATCGTTGCGTTGGCAGCTGTGTCAATAATAATGAAAATGTCTGTGTCGACGTGACAATCTGGCCGGGTGGTGGAGAGTTCTAATTACGAGAGATTATGTGTGGAACTACCACCACGTAGCTTAACCCAAAAATAAATATGGATCGTACAGTAGTCGGGTGTGATACAGTATGGTCATGGAGGCAGCGGTGGATTTTGATTCGCCATTGTAAATTGGTGTTTATTTGGTGTTTAAATTGGTGTTTAAATTAGTGTTCCCAGTTCTATTCTCAGCCACGGTCCTGGGTCTCTGCCCCTTTACCAATCTGCGCTGACCAGAGTGGTGAAGTATGGTCAGACAACTCCCATGACAAACTCAATATGGTTAAGCCTTTTTCCTGCAGTGAATTGACGTTGGGCAGTATATTGACTCGTATTACAGTATTGTTACGTGTAGTATGAATGTATGTATGTGCTTATCAATAAATGCATGCCAGTGAGACAATTCCACGTCTAATACGACTACTAAAGGAGATGAATACGAGGATTACGGGCACCGCTAGGCGTCACCAAGCACCGCAGCATTGACACAAAGTTCTCGGGCCCTTGAGCGAGGCACCGCCGGGGCCGTGCAGACGCGCGCCGGACCGCTCGGTGCCAGCAACCCGTCCCGGCGCCCCTCGGCGCAAGGGCACGCGACGACTTTACGATAACTCGGCCAGCGCTAACCTCCCGACGTGGCGCCGGCGTTGCAGGCTTCCACCTGTCGTCACGCCTCTCCTCGCTGGTGCCCGAGAGCTGCCTGCTGATCGTGGTGGGGCTGCTGGCCGGGGGCATCCTCACCCTGACGGGCGCCACCTCGAGCAGCGAGCACCAGGGCTCCTTCATGTCCTCCGAGGTACGGGCGCCACACTCATCCTCTCTCTCTCACACAGCAGCAGCTGCAGCAGCAGCAGGCTGCGTGGAGGCCTCTGCAGATGAAGCAGCGGGTCACGGAGCCCGTCCGTCGCGTGCCGTGTCGCAATCGCCCCACCTGCAGCGAAGGCCTCATTAGGCGCGCGTCTCCTCTTCCCCGCCGTGACGCGCCCGCCCGCCTATTAACCGGGAGAGACGGCTTTGAACAAACAATCCCTGCCACTCGTTGACGCTAATGATGGGATGCGCAGCGTGCGCTCGGCTCGTTCCCGGCGCTGCGGCGTCACAGAGTTTGACGGCCGCTGTCAAAACTAAAACACTACGTCTCTCACTGAGCAGGCTGTAACCGAGACAGGTGTAGTGCAACCGAGCGGGGTGTAGTGCAACTGAGTTAGGTCAGGTGTAACCGAGCGGGGTTGTGCAGTGTCACCAAGCAGGATGTAATCGAGCGGGGTGTGTAGTGAAACTGAGCGGGTTGTTGTTTTCCCCGCACTTTCTATTTAAAGGTGGCGTTGTGTCGCCACTTTGGAAGGGTTTAGCCAGAGATCAATCGATTTAATTTTTGGTCCGCGTTTTGGGCAACTGAGAAAATGGGGAGACGTCTTCTGGGGTTGCTTGGCACAAAGGGCAGCAGCAGTTTGGGGCGTTTGGGTCGATTCCATTTTGGTAATCGGCTAGCATGGAGCAGCAGTAACCTGAACGGAGGGGAGCCAGTTTGGTGCCAGTTGCCCGCGTCTGGGTTTTCTCGTCGTCTGTTATGGGTGGGGGCCAACCCCCTAGCACGACATTGGGGGCTTTTAGGCGTTCGGGCAGTGCATGGTGGCAGCGGTGTGCAAGTGGTTAAACATTTATTTGCTGGTGCTATTTGGTGGAAGAGCGTTTAAAGTAGATTGCACGTTGCCAGAGCTGAAGGAAAGCAAGGTGGATTTCATTTTCCTAGCAGGTGCAGGGGCTTTGAGTAGCTTTGCGCAAGGATGCGTTGTCAAGTGGCATGAAGCCGGATATTGATCGGTGAGAAGCTTGCAGTGTTCTTGAATCGGAAGAACTATGGTTTCTTGGTGGAGATGGTCAATGGGCCCCATGAGGTGGCATCCTGTGGCTAGGCGAAGTGCTTGGTTTTGGGCGGTTTTGAGCTTTTGGTAACCTGTAGAAGTGAGGTTTGGGCACCAAATGATTGATGGGACGTCCAATGGCTTTGTAGGTTAGGAGTAAAGTCTCCTTTTGTTGACCCCAAGATGTGCCGGCTAAAGCTCGTAAGATGTTATTTCGTTTGTTAACTTTTGCATGAACGTTTCCGTCATGTTGAGCAAAGCTGAACATGGTGTCAAAAGTTACACCTAGAATTTTTGGGGTTTTTGCAAGTAGGAGGCGTTGGTTGTTTATTATGATATTGGGATGTAAGTTGGCTTGATGAGGGTCAGGGTGACTGTTGATTTGAATTTTGAGAGTTGAAGCGATCTATTGGTTAGGAAAGTGCTGAGCCGTTTTAGATAGGAGTTGGTGGAGTTTTCCATTTTGGGCACATTTTGATTAGAAGTGTAAACTGTGATGTCGTCGGCCGAGCGGGGTGTAGTGTAACTGAGCGGGGTGTAGTGTCACCGAGCGGGGTGTAGTGTCACCGAGCGGGGTGTAGTGTCACCGAGCGGGTTGTAGTGTCACCGAGCGGGGTGTAGTGTCACCGAGCGGGGTGTAGTGTCACCGAGCGGGGTGTAGTGTCACCGAGCGGGGTGTAGTGTCACCGAGCGGGGTGTAGTGTCACCGAGCGGGGTGTAGTGTCACCGAGCGGGGTGTAGTGTCACCGAGCGGGGTGTAGCGTCACCGGGCGGGGTGTAGCGTCACCGGGCGGGGTGTAGCGTCACCGGGCGGGGTGTAGTGTCACCGGGCGGGGTGTAGTGTCACCGAGCGGGGTGTAGTGTCACCGAGCGGGGTGTAGTGTCACCGAGCGGCGATCGTTCCGTTGCGAGCTGCTGCGGCAGGGAACCCCCGTACGTGGTCCGACGTATGCAAGGTTGAGTCGCCCGCATAATAATAAATATAATGCCAATTATTTAGCCAGGAATATCCTTGATTCTGATTCGAAAGAGGTCTGAATCGAAGTTTGGAAAGTTCCACGATCGAGTGCTTGGCTTGGTATGAGGTGGAAAATCGGAGATACCTGGAGGAACGCACAGCATTATGAAGGAGGAGCACGATCACCACTGCCATCTCCTGGGCGCACCTCGCCACTGCGGCTCCACGTCCACAACAGCTGCCACAGTCGTATCGGTCACATTGGTGCTCGAACCCGCGTCGTCCTCACACAAATGTGGGGACTGAGAGCAATACGAGGATGAGCCCCTGTGCCCACACACCCACCCCTCTCCTCCCCCTACCACGCACGGCCGTGTGTGTGCGAGTGCACTGTGCACAGGGCGCAGACTGTCTCCGTGACCTTGTTATTAATTGGGGAACATAAGTTAATGTTGCCGCGGTATTTTTAGAAGTACGGCCTGCGTCTCTGCATCGTGGCGCACATTCTCACCATGTTTTTTGTGGAAAGAATGATGCGGGGGCGAGCGATCGCAGAGCCGGCGGGGCGGAAGCGGTCAATTTCTCACAGGCCGCTTGTCCATTTAGCTAATGAGCCTTCGGGGCAAACAAGCGAGGCGCCAATCAATGACAGGAGGGCCCGGATCATCGTCTAAATAACGGGGTCACAGAGCCAGCGAGCGAGACTGCCGGTGGAGAACCAGGGGCAGCCCAGACAAAGGGCCTGCAAACTCTCGGCATCTAACAATGCCGCATACGCGCGGACAGGGAGGAGGGGTTTGAGCGGCCGTCCTTGGTGATGAACGAGGCGGCCGTACAGCCAATGAGTGAGATGTTGCAGTAGGCCTGCCATCCACTCTCATACGTCCGACAGGACCCTCCTGAAACGAAAGAGCCCTGAAACTCGGTGAGACCTTCCTGGGAACGAGCGGAGTATTAGCGATGACGGCACACAGAGCCGAGTCTACCTGGTGGCTATGTTATGAAGCAATGGGATGAACCACCGGTCTCATAACTGGTGACCCATCTGTGCGCTCAAGGTGGGAAAGCCTTTCGGGCTGTGTCGGCCCACCAGAACGGACACACGGGACAAGCAAGTATAATAATTACGATTATAATTGAGCACATTTGGTATTTGCGCCATTCTTGTAGTGCAGAGCCGATGACGGAGGAAGGATCTGCTGTGTTTCATGCGGCGTGAGTCTGCCAGTATGTGTGCGATGTTGCGATGTGAAGTTCTGGGTGATAGCCATTTTGAGTAATTTGCGGTGTACTTTTTTGAATTTATCAATTTGAACCTCGTTTGGAATGGCGTCATGGGGTCTATAACATCCACTGTGAAGCAGACGGCGCATGGTCTTTTCGCGGTCAGTTCGCACCGCAGTGTTCGCCAGGGCGGCCAATGGACTTGAACCATGAACCTACGACTGGGCCTCTCTGTCGCACTATCGCCAACGCACGATCGCCAACGCACTCTCGATATCGCTTACGCACTATCGCTTACGCACTATCGCTTACGTACTATCGCTATCGCTAACGCTCTATCACCAACGCACTATCGCCAACGCACTATTGTCAATGCATTATTGGCAACGCATTCTTGCTATCGTTAATGTACTATCGCCAATGCACTATCGCTAACGCACTATCGTTTACTCGCTATCACTCACACACTATCGCTAATGCACTATCACGAACGCACTAACGGAACGAGTCACTCAAAACGTGTGCCGCACACCTCTCTGGGGTTGAGCGGAGATGTTGGACGCCCGTGAAAATTACTGGGCATCTGTGAAAAAGATCTTTATAGCTCATCGGATTCCTCCAGTATAAATCAATATTCTGATGCCGATGCTACCCGTGGCCAAAATAGAGAAGTCCCAGATGAGTGGCATGACAGCTGAACGGCCCACGACCTCCCGATGTGTTGACCTGGGCGCCTCGGTGGCGAGATGTTAACTACTTCACCTGGTATGCAGGAGGAGATCATGGGCTCTGCCTGCTGTATATTTGGAGTTTGCATGTCTCTCCCCGTGGTCATGTGAATTTTTCTCCGGGTCCTCTGGTTTTTCCCTACATTTTAGTATCAACATGCGTTTCGAGTATTTGGCTGCTATGAATGTCCACGTGATGATAAGCCACTTCGTTGAGCTATCATTTGTGGCCAGGTCGCTTCTGAAAAAAAGAGCTGTTTAGTAGCTCAATGGACCTTGCGTGGTAAAATAAGATTTAACATGCCAGGGGCCTATCACCGGTCTGTGGCCGGCGTGGGAGGCGACGGTGCTGAGCTGTAACGGGGTGGTGACGGGCTGCCAACCTTCGCGCACGTGGAGAATGAAAAGCATCGCCCGCTGCGCTCGTGCTGCTGCGGGGTGCCATCTGCTCGTCGCGTAACCGTGCGTAGCTCGCGGCGTTCGCTCGCGGACCGCTGCGCACCCAGCAGCTCCTGGTGCCGGCTAATAGAATCCCCAAACCTGACAAGCGCTCCCACTGCTTTCTCAGTTGGTTGTTCGGATGCCACGAGAAAGAAGAGAGAAGACCCGAACGATGCTCTTCACTGCTTTGGGGGCATACAAACACGAGTGTAGGCACACGCGGCTAACTTAAGCGCACGCACGTGCTCTGATCGTGACCCAGATGTAATTAAGAAGCACCCTGGCGGCAATCATTTCTCCAGCGCGTGTGTGACTCACTCGACCTTGGCAGGTGTCCCAGCGTTGGGGTTTGTTTGTCGTCTCACGGAAGCTGCGTGTTTGCCTTGCCGGGGCGGGGGGAGGGGTTTGGGGTGGCCGGCGTGGCGAGAGGAGGCCCAGGTCATCGCCGCAGCGGAAATTTCGTTCACGAGTTCCGCTTTTTAAACTTTGCGGAGGCTGGAGGTCTCCTCTTCTGCGGAGAGCATTTTCTGCGTCCCCCCCCGCACCGTTGCCAAGGGACGCGACTCAAATTCGGTTTCTCGTTTTCGCGATGCAACGCTCCGGTTATAGTGTGGATTCGCGCCATAAGCGGCAGCGAGTTTCCGTGCTCCTCCACGTCGTTGTCTGGCTCCAAGGCTGTGAGGCCACGAATTCAACATCGCGTGCCACCCTGTTATTTAATTGGGATCGTACACAGCAGCAGCATCGCCCCCAAATGCACACAAAATTAGTCTTGAGACTCGGTGAGGCTTTCATGAGCAAGCAAGCGCAATAATAATAACAATTTAATTTAGCAGATAATTTGTCTACACGTTTCTTTGTTTCCACATAACATATACAGCTGTTTCATACACAACTCATCGGTTGCACAGCCTTCTGGGAGTGCACAATTTGAGCAGCGTTATTTCAAAACGAGCAAAACTCAGGACCGGTTTCAGCATGCAGTGTCTCATCAATAACGATGCTTTTCATGCATTTCTGCAACCCCGCAGAAGTTGGCCGAATCTCCCAGAACCCCAGAATGCCACTGGTTGCCACCCTAACTAACCCTCGTGCGCACTGTCTGTACCCCCCCCCCGCCCAGGTGTTCTTCCTGTACCTGCTGCCGCCCATCGTGCTGGACGCCGGCTACTTCATGCCGGTGCGTCCCTTCCTGGACAACCTGGGCACGATCCTGTGGTACGCGGTGCTGGGCACGCTGTGGAACGTGTTCGGCGTGGGGCTGACGCTGCACGCGGTGTGCGCATTGGTGCCTTCACTGGGCCTCGCGTCGCTAGGCCTGGTGCACCTTCTGCTGTTCGCGTCGCTCATCTCGGCCGTCGACCCGGTGGCCGTGCTGGCTGTGTTCGAGGAGATCCACGTCAACGAGCAGCTCCACATCCTGGTGTTCGGGGAGTCGCTGCTCAACGACGCCGTCACTGTGGTGAGAGACGGGAAGGGTCGGGGGGTCACTACGCCGTCCACGAGAGAGGGAGAGTGCCTTGCGTGAGTGCGTGTGTGCGTGTGTATGAATGCACATGTGTGAGTGCGTGAGTGTTTGTGCGCGTGTGAGTGCATGTGTGCGTGTGAGTGAGTGTGCGCATGTGTGTGTGCGTGCATGAATGCCTGTATGTGTGCGTGTGTGAGTGCGTGTGTGTGCGTATATGTGTGCGTGCGGGAGCGGTAGAGTAGCAGTTAGCGCTCTACGAGCCTGGAGGACCCGGGTTCGATTCCCGCTCACGGCCAACACCAAGTACCTGGTGCGGTGTGTAAACATCAACAAAGGTGTCCGGGTGTGGTGCTGGCCACCCTTTCCCTCGTGTGCCATTCCGGCCTTCATTGGTGCTGCTCGCTAACAGCACTTACCCCAACAGTGTTAAGGCTATACCGGAGATCTTTGTATTCGTGCGTGCATTTGGGAACTGGACTGGTACCGCCTGGGACACAGGAGGTACGGTGGGCTGGTTTTGGCTCCGGTCACCCTGAGGAGTCAACAATGGGTGCAGGAAACTGCCAAACAACAGGGAGTGGCTCTTTGTCTTCAAAAAGACGATGCCCTGGGAAGACTAAGACAGGTGGCAGCCCAACCAGGAATTGAACTCGTGTCACCAGTGTAGCACACTGGTACGCCAAGGTGGTGCCCTGGGCTCTTCCACTTCATTGGTCCCCAGGGATCGTGGCCTTGGCAGCGCGTCGGCCGCATTGATCTCCGTCCGTGGGCTCGTACTGCTGATTTATTCCATCCCGAGATGGCCCGAGTCCCGTGTGGGGTGCCCGCGTGTCTAGACGAGGGTGGGGGGGGGGGGGGGTAAGTCCCATGAATTAATCTGATTTTAGAGTGGTGTTGTATTTTCACGAAACCCTGCCCCACTTGATACCACACTGTTGTGATGGAGTTTCTCATCATTTACAGATTTGATTACCACGTCAGATGCACAGCATTGACACCATTATTATAAACATTATTGAGCACATACTCTTTGGTTCTTTCGGTAAAGTCACGTAGGTATAAAATAAATCACGACGTTTCGGGTGCAACACAAGCATCCATCATCAGAAGTGGCCGGGGCTAGTGATGTTAATGTGATATATTAGCATGTAACTGTAAGATAGAAGAGCGGCCTCCGAAACGAGGGAGTGCAACCCAACGGGTGTAATCCGAAGAGCCTGTGAGTATGAGAGTTTAATCCAAAGGGCCTGTGAGTATGAGAGTGCAATCCAAAGGCATGAGAGTGCAATACAAAGGACATTTGAGCATGAGAGATCTAAGAGAGAAGCATAGAGAGAGACACACAGAGAGTCGGAAATAACAGCTGACATAGGCAGGTTGGATGGAAACATCACAGTCAGTTAAGACTTTCCCTCGTCAATAACGTCCTTTCAATGATTGCTGAGTTTGTATCCATCTTCTCGGTTGAAGTTGTGTCTGTGTTTATATATCTGGATGGCTTCATGAACAAATCTCTGAAGGTAGCCGGTAGGTTTGCAGAGTACCTCCGTCTTGGAAAAATCTATTTCGTGTGAGCCCACAGCGTTAGAACAATGATCGGCAACAGCAGAGGTATTGGTCCTACCGTGTTTCAGATCTGTTTTGTGTTCAAGGACGCAGTCCGACACATGTCGTTTCATATCCTTGGTTCTTTCGGTAAAGTCACGTTGAAGGAAAACAATAAAATAATAAAATATATATAAAACAATAAAATTCTCACGACGTTTCGACTGCAACACAAGCAGTCATCATCAGGTGTGAAAACCAACGGCAAGAACATTGGAAAGAAGTGGCGGTTTGAATTTATTTATTTTTAAACGTTAGCACCACGGATAGCGATTTGACAGTTTGTTTAGATGGACGAGTCCATCTATATTAGGAAAAGAGGAGGGGGAGACGAAAAATGAATGTATGCTGTCTGAAAGCCACTGTAAGCGTGAACACTCAATTAAGACCCGAAATGGTTTATCAAATCCTTCCAATGATTGCTAAGCCAGAATCCATCTTCTCGGTTGAAATTGTCTCTGTGTTTGTATATGTGGATAGCCTCATGAACGAATCTCTCATGGTAGCCAGATGGCTTGCAAAGAACCTCTGTCTTGGAGAAGTCAATGTCATGTGAGCCTACTGAATTATAACAGTGATCTGACACGGCCGAGGTGTTGGTCCTACCGTGTTTAAGGTCTGCTTTGTGTTCACGAATGCTGTCCGAGACATGTCGTTTGGTTTCTCCAATGTAACTACTGCTACAGAGGCAACTTAGTTTGTAGACACCAGGGTACTGTATGTCCGGAATCACATCTTTTACAGACGGAACCAAATCACGGATTTTATGTAATGTGTTGAAACGGACCTGGATCTTGTGTTTATTCAAGATTTTTACGTAAAAGTATGGATTCCTGCAGTCACGAAAGCTTCAAATCATTATTGAGCATTTCAATTCTCCAGCAAGCAGATTGCCAACACTGGACGTGCCGCCGTGAGCCCCTCTCCCGTTGTTCGGGGAGAAGAAGAGGAGGAACTGGGCGACCATGTGCTTTGTGCCGGCTTTTGGAGCCGAGACGTTAAAGTACGACCAGGCGCTCACATGGATAGCGGCAGAGAGAGGTCCGGTGAGCACCTGAGTGCGAGCGACCCGGAGTGCAGGCCACCCTTCCCACAAGCAAGCGACACGGAGTGCAGGCCATCTTCCCAGTGAGCGAGTGACACGGAGTGCAGGCCACCCTCCCATAGAGCGTCATGGAGTGCAGGCCACCCTCCCAGTGAGCGAGTGACACGGAGTACAGGCCACCCTCCCAGTGAGCGAGTGACACGGAGTGCAGGGGACCAATTCAGCAGCAACATGCTGGCCCCGGCTCTCGTTATATACAAAGTCGAAGATCCCCCCTATATCCTTGAACACTTTTGGGGCAAGTGCTGTTCCTGAGCAGCACCTACGAAGGCCAACACGGCGCACAAGGGGGTGGGTGTCCAGCACCACTCTCGACTGCCTTTATCTCTCTCGTGGCGAAGTTTACACACCTCACCGGGTACTCATTTGAGGCTGAGTCGACCTAGGGGAGGCCCAGAACTGGTTCAGATTATCATCACTGGTGTTGGCAGCGAGTGGAAATCGATCTCGGATCGCCGGGTTTGTAGCACAGTGCGCTAACTGTGACATGACCGCTCCCCACACAACAACAACAACAACCGCCATTTGCCACTAAGTGCCGGTGATGTCACCACGATGCTTGTGCCAGGCTATGTGCACCTTGAAGCCACGTGAAGTGTCAAACGCCCGCTGGCAGGAGGTCACGGGGCAGACCCAGATGCCACAGGTCGACTGACTGAGACGGCTGGCTGATGCACCACGTGTGGCCCCTACTGTACCAACTTGCTGTGCTTTAGCCACCCAGCGCTCCGCTCGTTGTTGTGAGCATCGCTCTTCAGCCCTCCGTTGTTGTTGGAGGGCGTCTGCCTCCAACTGCCCAGTAGCGTCCTTCACGAGCCTCCTCCACAAAGGGCTCCTCCTCTGAGTGAGCAGCAATTACCAGATTTTCGGCATACATAACATGGTTGAGCAATAGGGAGCCATCCCTTCACCACACCCGGGCATCGATCAGCCTTCCATTGTATCTGTACCAGATTGAAATTTCTCCGGTACAGCTATTGAAAGCTTCATGAACTACGTGGTCAAAATAGATGTTAAATAATGTGGGAGCAAGAGGACATCCCTGTCGCACCCCAAGGTGTACAGGGAATTGCTCTTACTCCCGTCCATGTAGTTTAACCTGGGCCCGCTCACCATCATGAAGGTCCTTAATGATCGTGAGCAGAGGGTCAGGGACTCCGAAAGCATGAAGAACAACCCAGAGCCCAGGCCTACTGATGGTATCATAGGCCCTTGACCAGGTCAATAAAGCAGAGATGTAGGTCTTGTTGGAATTCCCTACACCTCTGCTGTAGCAGATGGACAGAAAATATGGCATCTGTGCAGGATCGCCCTTTCCTGAAACCTTATTGGGGCTCTGCAAGCCTCTCCTCAGCGTGCCTAGCAAGGCGATGTTGAATAATCCTTGCCAGAACCTTTCCCAGTGGTCCAGACTGTTGTTATGATGTCATGTAGGGCAGTCTGTGCACAAACGCCACCCTCCCTCAGCATTTAGCTTGGGAGATCATCTCTGCCCGGTGCCATTCTTGGTCTCAGACTCTGGATCGCCTTCAGTACTTCCTCAACAGATGGCACCTCAGCCAGCCACTCACAGGGGGTGACTTCTTCCAATATTTGAGGCACCGCAGCCTCAGCAGGGTCATCCCCACTTTGTCCCACCTTGTTTTCCTGGCTGAGAGATTTTCCCTCCCCCAGGACCTCACGGACATTCTCAGCAAATCTGCAAACCTGTTCCTGGGGGTCGGAGATTGGATCACCGTTTTTTCCCCTAATGATGTTAATAGGTGTGGCGCTGCAGGTTACTTTTTTAATGTAATTAAAGAGCGATTTGTGATCGCAGGCCATTGAGGCTAACTCCATCTCCTCAGCAACCCGCGACCACCACCCATCCTTGCAGCACCTCATTGCTCTCTGAACCTCCGAGCGAAGGCTGCGGTAAGCCTCCTCATTCACCAACGTGGGATGCTGTAGCTGATGAGAGTGGGCCTGTCACTTTTTCTCAGCCCGCTTGAACACCTCTGTCAGCCAGGGTCTTTGGAGAGGTCTGGACCGTGTACCCAAAGCAGCCATTGCAGCTGCATGAGCCACAGTCCTAAACCTCGCCCATTTCCCCTCGACATCAGGAGGAGTGGGGGACGTTGCCAACCCCAGCTGCAAGCGATGATGAATTTCTCGCTTACAACTTTCATCAGCTAGCTGAGACCATGCCACTAAGGGTTTGAATGGGGTTCTGGGTGTACACCCACCACCGGAGTGGAAGAATGGCAGGCACATCTTACAGATGACAAGTCGATGGTCAGTGGGC